ATACAGCCATGCATCCATACATCCATACAGACATGCATGCATGCATACATACATGCATGCATGCATGCATACATACATACATACATTACATCACATGCATCACATACATCCACACATCCATACATCCATACATCCATACATACATACGTCCATACAACCATACATCCATACATACATACATGCATGCATGCATGCATGCATGCATGCATGCATACATCCATACGTACATACATGCATGCATGCATAAATGCATCCACAACAACACACAAACATTCATACATGCATGCATGCATACATACGTATACTCGAACCACGCGCGCGCGCTTCGCGCGCTTACGTTCTAGCTAGGAACAGATTCTTCGTGACCATCATCATCGTCATCCTTGTCATCATCGCCATCATCATCAGGACAATCGTCATCAGCAGTACCACCACCATCATCGTCATCGCCATCGCCATCATCACCGTCGCTGTCAGCGCCACCTTAATCATCATCATCATCATCAGAAGCAGCAGCAACAGCATCATCACCACCACCATCGTCATCATCATCGTCATCGTCAGCATCACCATCAGCATCATCATCATGCTCATCATCATGATCAGCATCATCATCATCATCATCATCATCATCATCATTATCATCATCATAAGCATCATCACCGCCACTAACATCCATATCATCATCAGCAACATCACCATCATCGGCATCATCGGCATCACCACCACCACCATCATCATCATCGTCAACGTCGTCGTCTCCGTCCTTATCATAATCAGCATCATCATCATCAGCATCATCATCATCACCGTCGTCATCACCATCATCTCCTCGTCCTTCTCCCCCTACTCCTCCCGCCTGTTTTCCCCGCTCTCCTGAATATCAAAGCCTTGCTCTTCTCTCACGTCCTTCTCACTCTTCCCCCCTCTAGTACTCCTCATCCTGCGTTCTCCTTTCTGCCCAGTCCTCAGCAGCCCTCCCCAAGCCCAGGAATCTGGAAGCCACAACATCTTGCACATTCCAATGGAAACATATTGTAGTTTGCCTCTGGAGACACTCTTGGTCGCTTGCGCCGTCCAAGGATCTCCAGCGCCACTGGACCTTAGCTAATGCCGCGTTCGGGCTTGCGTGAGCTGCTCGAAGCCTCAAGGTTCGCGTGGGCTCTATCTCAGACCGTCTTGGAGTTGCACGCAAATCTCCTGAGAAATTGGAGTCGCCGCCGTCATCGGTATCATCGGCGTCGTCGTCGCCGTCATCGTGGTCATCATCATCATCATCATCATCGGAATCGTCATCGTCGTCATCGTCGTCGTCGTCATCGAAATTCTCAAGATCGTCTTCATCTAAACCACCGTCCCGTCACCGTCGTCGTCGTCGTCGTCATCATGAGCTTCAACCTCATCGTCATCAGCATCGTCTTCATCGACGTCGTCATCCTCTGCACCATCATCGGCATCGGCAGCGCCATAGGCATCGTCACTTTTATTGGCAGCATCATCAACATCACCATCATATTAATCATCATCAGCATCAGCATCAGCATCAGCATCAGCATCAGCATCAGCATCATCATCATCATCAGCATCAGCATCAGCATCAGCATCAGCATCAGCATCAGCATCATCATCATCATCATCATCAGCATCATCATCATCATCATCATCATCATCACCACCACCACCACCACCATCATCATCATCATCATCATCATAACCATCATCATCATCATCATCATCATCATCAGCAGCAGCATCATCATCAAATTCACCATCATCAACATTGACATCACCATCCGCACATTCCTCATAACCGCCAACAGCATCATCACCATCGTCATCATGACCATTACCATCATCATCATCACCAACATCACCATAGCATCAACACCATCATCAACAGTATGGTGGTTATCATCCTCATCATCATCTTCCTCGTCCCCATCATCCTCATCAGCATCAGCAGCAGCAACAGGAGCAGCAGCGGGTCGTCGTCATCACCATGAGCATGATCATGATCATGATCATCATGATCATCAGCACAATCATCCTCATCAGAATCATCGGAATCATCACCACCATCAGTACCATCATCATCATCAGCATCATCAACAGCATTATCATCATCATTACCATCACCACTACCACAATCAGAATCATCAGCATCATCATAATCAGCATCACCATAACAATCATCATCATCATCATCATCATCAGTCGTCATAGTCGTCGCCGCCATCATCATCATCATCATCATCATCATCATCATCTGCATCAGTATCATCAGCATCATCATCGTCAACGTCTCACCATCGCCATCACCATCACTATCATCATCATCAACAGCATCATCATCATCGGCAGCAGCATCATCAATATCAGCATCATCATCAGCATCATCATCCTGGAGGCCATCGTCGTCCTCATGCTGAGTCATGGCGCCCTCTTGACGGCCTGCTGGGCCGCATCGGGGCAACATGCGAGACCTCTGAGACCAGTGGGCGGTGAGAAACTGGACAAAAAGACGGGAGTGCGGCAGACCATCAAGAACCTAAGGGAAATCGCAAAATCTGGCCTCTGGAAACTCCCTTGGGGGAGTTCGGGGCTCTCGTGCGCCGTCTTGGAGGCCTTCGGAGTCGTCAGGAGGCTATCTTGGGACGTCTCGGAGCGTTCTTGCATCATCGTGGCGGAGCTATCTTGGACTGCCTGTTGGAGCTCTCTGGGGTCTCCGAAGGGCTCTTTGGGGTCGCGTTGAAGGTCTCAGGGGCCGTCCCGGGGCTGTCTTGGCGGCCTCTCAGGCTGTCTCTGGGCGACATGGGAAGCCTCCGAGGGCCGTTGTGGGCAGTGGGAAAGCCGATGATCCTCCTTCCCCGCCTACTCCTCCTCCTCCCCCTCCTCCTCTGACTCCTCCTCCTTCTTCTTATGAAAGTCCTCCTCATTCCACCTCCTTCGACAACTCCGCTTCCTTCCGCTTGCCCCCCACTCATCCTGCCCCACATCATCCTGATTTTCATCCTCGCCCCTCTCCCCATTCATACTCGCCCGTTTCTTCCTCCTCTTCCTCCTCCTCCTCCACCTTCTTCTCCTCCTCCTCCTCCTCCTCCTCCTCCTGTTCCTCCTCTCCTCCTCCCCCTCCTCCTCCTCGTATTCCTCCTCTCCTCCTCCCCCTCCTCCTCCTTCTCCTCCTCCTCCCTCTCCTCCTCGTCCTTCTCCTCCTCCTCCTCCTCCTCCTCCTCCTACTCCTCCTCCTGCTCCTCCTCCCCCTCCTCTTCTTTCCTCTCCAGATCTCTCTCTCTCCGCGCGCGCGCGGCGCCAGAAGCGTGGCGGGCGGAGGCGGCAGCAACGAGGGCGACGGCGACGGCGACGGCGACGGCGACGGCGACGTCGGCGACGACAACCTCTCTCTCTGCCCGGTCGCCCCTGCGTCGGGCAGCGCCTGCTCAGGAGGGGTCCCAGGCCTCTCCCCCATGCACTCGTCGTCGCTGGCGTCGCCGCCGCCGCCGCCGCGGTCGTCCTCCCCTTCGCCGTCGCCGACTGCGGGCAGGCCGCCCCAGGCTTGACGTGTGGCGACGCCTCGTGCCCCGGGCGTGCACCTCGTCGCCCTCGCCGCGGCAGGCTCGGGGTGGGAATGCTTTCCCCCGCGGGATAGGGTTGTTGATGCATGATCAATGCATGAATGCATGTATGCATGAACTCATCGTTGTTTCTAATACTAAATCACTGCAGTGTTACTACATGATCCACACGCGGAGCATGTATTAACAACGGCACTGTACTTTCCCCCGCGCGCTGCCCACCTTGCAGGAGGTTCAAGTCGATGGGCTTGCACTCGCCGCCCGCCCGCGGCATCTTGCGGCCGCCCGCGTGCTCGAGGGGGTTGCGCGCCGAGGGGAGCGCGCGCGCGCAGAGGCTGGCCATGCAACGCCTCCTCGTGCCATTCCGAAGCTTTGCGCGGGCGTTTGGAGAGCGGTCGTCCTCGGGGTTCGCTCTGAGCAGAGAGTCTGTCGGCGCACCGCCGCGGCGAACCCCTGCAGCCCGCGGCGCCGCCGAGTCGGCGCGATGCTTTGCAGTGGGCGGCTCCATCCCGCCATGGATGCCGTCGTGGACTTCTGCGCATGTCTGGACCGACCGTCCCGGCATTTCTATAGGCCTACCACGAGATGTTCTTAGAATCCGAACATGTTCTAAGAACAAAACAATGTTCTTAGAACACAAGCCCGACGCGTTAAAACAGGACAGCCCCGGCCAGAAATAGGTTCTTAGGCCATTATTTGGTAGGCCTATAGGCGAGACAGGACGCTTCGCCACTGCTTGAGTCACACTGGGCCCTGGTCCAGGGCGCGCGCCCGTTGGGAAGGAACCGCCGCAACGTCTTGGCTCCGAGGCTCTTCTTGTCATCTGCGATGCCGGCGCTAGCCATGACGAGCGAACAGCACGCACCCATGCCCATAGGGAGGACGGAGGGGGCCATGGGTGCGTGTTGTCGGATGGGGGTCCCCGCTCGAACGGGAGCCTCCCCCGTTGTCCGACAACCCGCACCCATACTCATAGCAAGTCCTCCTCCCGCCGACCCCCCTATTGGTATGGGTGTGTGTTGTCCGTTCGTCAAGCCAGGGCTGCTGCCATCCCCAGGTGGCTCAGGTGGAAGCCCACCAACGCTGCGCGCTCGAGCACGAAGTCCGATCAGCATCCAAAAAGGAGGAGATGCCGAGGATGAGGATGAGGATGAAGATGATGATGAGGATGCGAATGAGGATGCGAATGAGGATGATGAAAATGGGGAAACCGAAAGGTACCGATACCGCTACTCCCCGGACCTCTCCTGGGGTGCGTTCTGACCAGAATTCCGAGGCGAATCCAGCGGTGGCGACGACAGAGGCCCAGGAGGCCCCAGAAAGGGAAAAACGAGGGGAGGGTATAGAGGCATGGGTACCCCTTCCTCCTCTAAAACCAAGGAGGAAGAAGACTGCTGTCCACACCCGGCCCTCCGCCGAGCACCGGACGACTCCGTCGCGGGCTCGCACGGCTGCCCCCGGGCGACTCCGGGGCCCCCAGGGCGGGGCCCGCGGCCGCGCCGTGGAGCCCGAAGGACGGCAGGCCCGGCGGCTCCTGCACCGCAGGGGGGGGGCGAAGAGGAGGACGAGGAGGGCGAGAATGGCGAGGAGGGCGAGGATGGCGAGGAGGGCGAGGGCGATAAAGAGGAGGAGGGGGACGAGGAGGAGGAGGACAAGGAGGAGGAGGAGGAGGAGGGCGAGGGGCCGACGGGAAGACGCCCCTGTCGTCCTCTGCCTCGCCCTCGTCCGCGCACTCGCCCCCGCCATCGTGCTCGCCCGCGTATGGACACACACACTCCCCGAATGAACACAAGGGAAGAACGATTGACAGCCCGACCGTACCTCGAAGGGGCTGCCAAGTCGCCAAGTGAGCCGTCTTCTGGTGCCCCAAGCGGAGCCCCGACATCGGCCCACAACGGCGAGCGAGAAGGGCACTGGCTGATCATACAGTCTTATTCGATGTGTAACCAAAGAGCAAGCGGAACAGAAGAAATCTGCGTGCGGTTACCATGAAGCGACAGTGTGCGCGTGCCCCCCAGGGGACAGATGCGCCTCCCCCTCGAGGGTTTCACCGCATGGGAACCAGAGCGCGAAATGCGGCTCCGACAGAAAGGGAGTGGACCGGGGGCGCCCCGCGTGTGGATGCGGGCCCCCCGTGGGAGGAAGACCTGACTGCCCGGGGTACCACCAGCAGCGCCGCCCTTCACGAAAAGGAACTGGGCCACAACAAAATTCGGAGATGGACAGACCTCCCTTTAGTAAAACGTGGTTTAGTGAAAACGACCTGAGGCCCAAACCTGGCGGGCGCAAGCCTGGAAAATAACGGCCGCGGCGCCCTCTCGAGAACCGAAAACGGACAATTCACTAATCGACGTGTCACTGTGTTCTGTCCACCCCCGAAGAATAGAGCCGCAACGCGCTTGCGGTTCTGATAAACAAGTGGAATAACGGAGGGCGGTATCGAGTGGGCTAATATCTTCATGGAAAGCACGGGGCGAGAAAGAAGACTGGACAGGCGGGCGCTCGGGTAGTAGGAAGAAATGCGAGAATGGGCGGGCGCAGCGAGGGAAGTTGGGAACGGGTACGCGAGAGGGGGGTGACGTTAATCAAGGGGCTGGTATTTGACATGCTTTTCGGGGATATCAGCCCATCCTGCGACTATGCCAACCTCAAAAAAACAGTTAAATGCAGAAGTAGGCGAGCTCGGCTTCGCACGGATAAGAGGGAACGCGATTCGGTGTTCAAGCGAAGCCGATATTGAACATCTGCATTTATCTGGTGGGCATCCGAAGGACTGGACGCCCGCGCCGCCGAAGCTGGCGCGTCCAACAACGCTCAAAACGAACATGCTGCTCCTGAAAAACTTAGCACTCGCTCTCATAAAAAAAGGGAAGAAGCGGGTTTCGGGTGGTCCTTGGTCTTTGGACCAGGATCTGCACATTCCGCACAGTCCTTCTCTCGTTATCTCTGCCCGTGGTAGTACCTGCGTGACAAGTGACAAATGCTTGGCACACTATGCGTTAATTTCGTACCTGCGTACAGTGCCCTGAACCACCCGTTGCCGAGCCCATCCGATAGTTTGTACAAGCTCGGGGCTGGACGGAACCAAGGGGGAGAAAAATGCGGAGGTCACCGTCATGGGGCCGTCTTCGAGGCCTCTGGGGCCGTCTTGGAGCGGAAGTTGGCCTCTTGGGCCGTCCTGGAAACTTGGGAAACTGAAAAGGCGAGAACTCGAAAATCCTTAAAAGCCTACGTTGAATCAATGATTTGTGCCCCCTGGGGCTCCTGGGGAGCATCTTGGAGGCCTCTTGCGGCGTTTTGGAGGCCTCTTGAACAGTCAGGGGCTCATTCCGGGGTAGTCTCGGGCTGTCATTGGTCGTTCTCGCTGACTGGAAGCGCCATTTCTGGCGATCCGGTTTCGGATGCCGTTTTTAGGCCTCCTCGGGGCGCTTTGTAGGCAATGTTGAGGACTTTGGGACGCCGTTTTGAAGACCTTCTGGGTGGGGCGTCTTGGGGGACTTTTGGGGGCCCCTGGGAACCTCTTGGGGCCTCCTGGGGGCCTCTTGGGGCGGAAAGCTGGGATTGTCGGTTCGCGTGTCCCCTCTTGGGCCTCTCTTGGGGCCATCTTGGGCCGTCTTCGGGCCCTTTTGGGGCCGTCTTGGGGGCCTCTTGGTCCGTGGTGGCTCGTCGGAAGCCCGAAAACGCGGGAAAGCTACACAATTCGGAACAACATAACTATAAAAACAATGATGTTGACCTCTCGGGCCGCTCTCTGGAGGGCTTTTGGAGGCGTCTTGGTCGGTCTCTTATCGGGCCGGGCGAAAGGGGGGGATAGCAAAGGGGGGGGTTGAGAATCAGCTCGCGTAGCTGATTTTCCCGGCGCCTCCCGGCGCCGGAGGCGGCCATATGTCGAGGAATGGGCCACTCGGTGGGGCCGAAACCAGCTGCATATGCAGCAAACTTCGTACCCCCCCCCCTTTCCCAATCCCCCCCTTTCGTCCGGCCCGTTCTTGGCACGTCTCTGGGCCATCTTGGGCGTCTTGGAGCGGTTGTTCCACGATTCGGGTCCCTGCTGGGCCAGCGCGGTGTTTTCTGGGCCGCTCCTGGCGCGCTTGGAAGGGGCTCGGGTGCCCTGCCACCGGCACGGAGATCCGAGGTTTGCCCTTGCGGCCCCCTGCTCTGGACTCCGGGTACCTGTATAGCAGAATTCAGTCGGGCGTGTCCCCTTACAGGTGGATTTTCGACGAAGAACTGGAAATACTCCAAAAATGATCAAAAATGGCGAGAAATGCTGAAACATCGTCCTCAGACTATTTGTTTTGACTATTCTTGAATATCCCCCCTCTAGAGGGGCAGGCCCGACTTGATACTAGAAACAGTCGCGCTCCGCGCGCGCTCTGTTTCAAGGTAGCTCCAAGCGCTGGGAAGTCCAAACTTGGTCATGCCGTCTGATTCCCGACGTGCTTACTGGTCGGCTTACTTCACTCAGCATGTCGTGGCTATCGTCTCCCAGCTTGCGCTTCTCGTTGCCTTCTCCTGCGTTATGTTGTTTACTGAGCCTTCGTCCACATGATGGTCTCCGTGTCCCTCATTAGTCCCTCTCCCTCGTGTTCCGTTGTTCCTGCCTCACCCCTGCCTTTGGTGTCTCCGCCTCCCTCTCATGTTCGTCCTTCTGTGCGTGCGCAGACACAATACGTGGCCGCTCCTTCTCGATCCTATTTCAATCCCCTTCTTTCCACCACCCCCTCCTCCTGGTGACGGTTTGGAGCCCAAAACTTGTTCGCTAGCTAAGTCGAGGTCTTCGGACGCCGTTTTGAAGCCCTTCTGGGCGTCTTGGAGGCCTTTTGGGGCTCCCTGGTGGCCTCTTGGGGCCTCCTGGGGGCCCTTTGGGGCGGAAAGCTTGAATTGTCCGTTCGCGTGCCCCCTCGTGGGCCCCTCTTGGGGCCATCTTGGGGCTCTCTTGGGCTATCGTAAGGCCCTCATGGGCCGTCTGGGGGTCTGTTTTGGCTGTTTGGGGGCTGCCTTGGGGGCCTCTTAGGCCGTCTTGGGGGGATCTTGGGAACCGTTCTGTTAGCTTTAATTCGTCGGAAGCCCGAAAGGACGAACGAACAACAAGAACATACATGTGTAAATATATATATGTGTATATGTGTGTATCAATGATGTTGGCCTGTCGAGCCGCTATCTGGAGGGTTTTTGGAAGCGTCTTGAGCGGTATCTTGGCGCGTCTTGGAGCCATCTTGTGTGTCTTGGAGCGGTTCTCAGATCCCTGTCGGATCCTTGTTGGACCATCGTGGGGGTTTGGGGGGGCCTCCTGGCCCGTCTTCGAAGTCCAAGAGATCCTTTTCCACTGGCATGGAGATCTGGTGTATGCCCTGAGGACCCCCTGCCCTGGACCCCAAGTATATGCGTATGCAGATCCGATTTCGACGCCCTCTTTAAACATCTATACGACTACACTAAAACAAAGAACGGGAAGAAAGCGGATCCGCGGACCCCGGAACCCGCCCGTGCTAAGATTGTATGAGAGAGAGGGTTTCGGTCATCAACTTCCCAGGATGGGTCCTGCGCTGTTGTGCACACTCCCACCAAATTTCCGCGCGCGCGGGTCCCACTCAACATGGATGCGTATCTCTCCTCCCGAATGCTGCGCGCAGATCGTCCACTCGCTGTCCGTTCGGCGGTGCCAATGCTATCTCGCGAACTGATCATCGCCATTTTGACCTCAAGCAGAAAATGGCTCGCCCTGCGTAAGTGCGTTTCGGCCCTGCATCTCCTGACCCATCGGACTGCGCGTGGCGGGGTAATTCTGGTGAGTTGGACTGTGTCGGCTGTGGTAACCAACGAGTCCGAAGCCCAGGACGAAAACCCGGAACGACGGTTTCAAGTCTTGAGCAGACGCGTGTGAGATAACCACCGTCGGATCCAATGACATTCGCGGGAATCCGATGTAGGTCTTGCTTTCTATTTCGGTAGATCCGACTTCAGTCCGCACGGATCCACTTTCGGATTTTCTGGATCCGCGTCCGGGTCCGGCCCTACTTGTAACGGCGGGTCCGATTTCTACCCGTGCGAACATGACATTACTAAGTTATGCCGGGGAACCAGATGAAATCGGATCCACGGACCCCAGAACCCGCCCGTGTTAACATTCTACGGGGGAGGGGGGTTCGGTCATTAACTTCCCAAGATGGGTCCTGCGCTGTTTCGCGAGCTCCCATCAACTTTACGCGCGTGCGGGTCCGGCTCAACATGGATGTATATCTCCTCCCAGTTGCTGCGCGCAGCTCGTCCACACGCTGTCCGTTCGGCGGCGCCGATGCTATCTCGCGAACTCATCATCGCCATTTTCACTTCAAGAGGAAAATATCGTCCTGCGTGAGTATGTGATGCGAGGTTGCTGGCGCAATTCATGTGATGCACGATATGCGGTGAAGCGGCATAGTCCAAGCTGTGCGGTGAAAGACAGTTGGTCTAAGCCATGTGGTGCACGCTATGCGGTGGGCGCGAAGTAATGAAACCAAATGTATACAAACTAAATGGTGCAAGCTATGT